ATGATGATGACATTAGAGTAATTTTTTTTATCATCTTTTGGAATTGATTATTTTAAGACTTTAAATCCTTGAATTAATAACAAATAATTGTTTGTCAGTGGATACTACCTTAATTTAGGCAAAAACCTACTTTTAACTCCTTACCTTAATAAATTTATAAGTTTTAACCTCTCATCTTATATTACGATACTTTTAGCCATTTACCTTAATAAATTTGTAAATTTTAACTCATCACATTATACTATAACACTTTTAGTTTGTTACATATACGAATTGAAGAAAATAACCTTCATTTAACATCAGATTATAATATTATGTTAATTTTGTTAGTTGACTATTAGCATTCGTTAGCATCTGTTAGCATTCTGTTATAGAAAATATGGAATTAAATTTAATTTTATTTGTTAGTATTATTAACGAAATATTAACGGAACACTAACAATTAGCTAATAGAGTTAATAGTCAGTTAATAAAATTAATAGAACATTATAATCTGACCTTAAGTAAAGGTTATTTTTTTCAATTCATATAAATGGGGGATTAAAAGTGTCATAATATAAGGTGATGGGTTAAAACCTACAAATTTATTAAGGTAAAGGGCTAAAAGTGTCATAGTATAAAGTAAGGGGCCAAAATTTACAAATTTATTAAGATAAATGGCTAAAAATATGTTTTAGCCCTTAATTTACAACTTGTTTATTGTCTGTTGTGCGACTATGATGCTGCGAAGTGTGAATTTACCTTAACCTAGCAGGAGCTAGCAAAATTGCCTCTTAACCTCCCAAGCTTACATTAAATTAATCCATGAGTTTCTGAGTTAAAAATAATGCAAATAAGATTTTAAAACCCTAAAATAATTTAAATTAGCTTTTAGATCGTTTAAATGATACAAATTAATCTTTATTATTAATGGTCTGAAATCACACCCAAAAGGTAAAGGAAAGGGGGTTTGTCGGGGTGGTTGGTTGTCCACCTTGAGCTTTTGAAAATTTTAAATTTTAATATTTACATTTTTTAAGATTAAATTTAGGGTGTTCAATAAATTTGTGTTTTATGTTAAGAAACTAATATCAAGACTTTGTTGTGGTGTTTAGTTGAAATATT